CCAAGTAGAGGAAATACTAGATTTAAAAACAAGCATATTAGGTAACTATCAAACTAGCATGTGCTTTGATATGACTCATATTTTCCTGAAAAAAATTTACTAAGAAAAACATCTTTCAGGGAGAAATTAGGATTGTGTAGAACTTCAGGATTTATAATATTGTAAAATGGTTGAAATTTAATTACTCATTGAATACTAATTAAGCGGTTTTACTTAAATAATTCTTTAGTAGGAAAAATTTTATAAACTGCTTTGTATAATGCTAATTTATATTAATATTTGAAAGTGGCAAGTAGTTTACCTATTTAATGACTCGAGGTTGTTAACATCCTATTTTCCTTGTTCTTTTTTGTATAAAGACCCCAGATTTCTTGTCATTTTGTGTTATATATTTCATATACGTTGTAATGTTAAAAACTTTTATCCTCTTGAGAAAACTTCTTTTTCTTTTTTTTAAAGATTTTATTTATTTATTTTTTTCCCCTTAAAGCCCCAATAGATAGTTGTAGGTCATAGCTGCACATCCTTCTAGTTGCTGTATGTGGGACACGGCCTCAGCATGGCCGGAGAAGCGGTGCGTTGGTGCACGCCCGGGATCCGAACCCGGACCACCTGCAGTGGAGCGCGCGCACTTAACCACTAAGCCACGGGGCCGGCCCGAGAAAACTTCTTAAGTTCTTAACCATCAAATTTAAAAATAATTTTCCTTACTTCCAAAAAGTCTAAGCATCTAGGGAAAAGTGTTATAATATCTAGGTTCAGAATTTAGAAAACTTGAGCGTGAGGTGATTATTTCAGCCCCTCCCCCGCCCCCTCATCTGCCGGGTTAGTATGTTTGCATTTGCTTATTTCTCCTCATTTCCTACCTCTGCGTTATATAAAGCCCATACTCCGAGTTGTATGGAACCGGAAACCTGCTACTGAACGTGCACCTCCCCCATCACTGTATCAACATAATGTTTGTTTATAGTACTTCTCACAATGAAGGGGAAGGGTATATATTCATTAATCAATTTGATTTGTGTTTTTTATGTGTATTAAATCTTTTTGTTTTAATGACATTTTATACTTCTGAAAAAGTGATACTTTTTAACTTTCTATTGGCTGTGTGATTTTTAAGTACAATATTTATTTCAGAATATTAACTAATAAAAATGTAGAGCAGAGCCTTGTCAGCTCTCTCTGAGGCCCTTGTTCCCTTTGTGTTGCGGTACAGCACTGAGAACGTTATAGGTGGCCAGGAGTTGTAATCTTCCTGTGTGCTTTCTGTTACGCTGCAGGGCTTATGAAGTTATGGAATATTACTTGTGTAATTTACAGTCAGTTTATTCCCTCGATATTTCTATTTAGTCTACATTTTCAATGCACAATTTGATGTGAAGAAAAACTCTCATTTCCATATACATGATGTAAGTTTGTTCCTATTTTTTAGGGAAAAAGCTAAGGAATATGAGACAACCTCTATTTATGATGGGTTGGAATTTTCAGAAACTAGAACTCAGTAGTACATGTATTTCAGGCCTGGGTTTGATTTTGGAGATCCTTTACCTTCACTTTCGTTATCTCTCTTTCTGAAGAGTCGGCTCTCCCTGTTGACCAGTGTTTCGCACAGCAAGGAGAGAATACCCCACTCTCTTCCTATTGCTCTCTCGGCTTGGGAACTCTCTGCAGTTTTTCTTTTCTGTAGCTCTATAGGGCTGCATATATTCATGTTATTTCTTTAAAGTATTAAGTGAAAGAAATTAATAACAAAAAGAAAAGTAGGAAGAATACTAGGTTTAATGTAACAGAGACAGAAGAGGCGGTGAAAATCCTTGAAGTTTGTTCCAGAGTGGTGTGAAGGATGCTGTTGACCAGCATCGATGCGATGTTAATCTTCATTTCAGAATGGGCAGTATGATGGTGATAGAAAGCATTACGGGGTGCCAGGGAATCATAATTGAAGGGACTTATGAGCAGTGCCTTGAAAGACAGTTAGGGGCCAGCTAGGCATTCCAGGCAAAGGGCAGCTTGTACACAAGAATGAATGGGAATAACTTCTAGAGCTGCTGTAAGTAGTTTAGGGATGGAACACAGAGTATGTGTCAGAGGTTGGAGAAGAGATTGGGAAGGTGGGCAGAACTTAGTTCATCGGGTGCCTGCTGTGCCGTGCCAAAAGTTTTCTCCATTTTTATTCTGAATGTGGAATAAATCCTTGTACAATTTTAAATAGGGGAATAGCATGATTATGTGTACATATTAGAAAGATTATCCTACAGGATATATGGAAGATGTATTGGAAGAGGCAAATTACAGGTGAAAGAAGTCAATTAGAGACTTCCCACTGGTGTGAAATGAGGGGACCCAGAACTCTGGCTGTAGAAAAGGGAGGGGGACTGGCAGATTTGTGTGCTGTTAGGAGTTAGAAAACAATTGGATATAAGGGCATTGGAAAGGAGAACATCTGGGATGACTTCTTGGTGTCTGTCTTGGGTAACTTGGTGGGTGGAGGTCCTACCAAATGTGAAATAGAATCTAGAAGGATTGACAAGAAGTTGGTTTGAACATGATAAAGCAGTTAAGCGGAGATGCCCAACAGGCAGGAAGCTGTAGAGATACAGTTTAGAGAGAAGTTTGAGTTTTAGATAGAGATTTAGATATCATTATTATTATAGGTGGTAAAAGTTATGGATGGGAATGAGACCTCTTGGACAGAGCTTCTGTTGAGAATGAAGAAGTCTGAGAAATAACCAGAGGTAGAAAGAGACGCAGGAAAGATGAGGGAGGGACCCAGCAGGCAAATAAAGAGAGAAGTTCAAGGAGGAGGAGTGTCCAGGATTAGTGTGTCTGATCTTCAGAAGCAGCAAGTTCACTAGGGACCAGATAGTGCCCATTGGTTATGGGGCAACATCACAGCATCACTGGTAAGTGGAACAAGAACAGTCTCGGTGACATGGAGTGGGACTAGAGCTGTGAGGTGGAGGTGAGTGGGAGGGAGTGACATCGTTTACTCTGCTTCCTCCAGAAGCTTGTCTCAGATGGAGGTGAGCTGAGGCCATAGTGAGATCTAGGGAAGGTTTTGATGGGAGAGACTTGAGGTTGGGGAAGTAATAGATTGAAGGAGTCTAGGAACATGTAAGTAATTTCTATAGCTAGGTTCATAGAAAGAAAGGAAGATTGAGAGCTGGGTAACAAAGTAATTCCATTTTACTTGTAGTGGCTTGAGATGACCTTGGGAGCCACTCAGATTAACTTGCCGTTATATTACTTTATTGACTTTTCTTTCTTTCCTTTTGTCAGATAAAATTAACTAGATATTATTTTTTCATTAAACTCATCTCCTGACTGTAAACACTGACACAGCTGTCTGTTCATTTTTCACTAGGCGTGCTGTAAAGCACGTTACGTGGAGCGCCATTGCATTGGTCCTGCCGTTTCAAGCCCCCATTGCCCCCCGAAATGTGCAGCTAATAGTGAAATACGCCCCATTTCAAAGCCCCGTCTGTCCCTGCTCTCTCGGGAACATTTTTGCTTCAGGTGGCAGCATCTGTATGTGCTCCATCCCAGCCTTTTCAGACTTTGCTTTTAGAATAAATCTGATAAGTTCCTTCATGTATAAATAAAACTCAGTGTACTTCAGCAAATTTGTATATTTTAAAGGAGGTCAAAGAAGGAACTTCTCTGCGGAATTTCACATATCGAAATACCTCTAGAAGAGAGAGATTTTTAGGAATGGTCCCTTTTTACTTTATTTATTTATTCATTTTTATTTTACTTGTTTTTTACAATTGAGATACAGTTGACATATAACATTGTATAAGTTTAAGATGTACAGCGTGTTGATTTGATACATTTACGTATTGCAGTATGATTACCACCGTAACACTAGCTGACACTTCTGTCACATCACACGATTATTAATTCTTTTTTGTGGTGAGAACAGTTAAGAGATGGTACCTTTTTAATATCCACATTCTATTTCTATATTAAGGTTGGCCAGCCTAGCTTCACATTCCCATAGTCAAAAATAAAATTAATGGGAAGGATTCTGCTTAACAGAATAATTAACCAGTTAGTGTTTGAACCAGTTATAAAAATGAAATCTGTATTTTGTAATTTCAGAAGTCTCATTGAAATACTATTCTGTTTCTGGACTCAAGAAAATTTGGTTTTGCATTCTGTGACTGGCTAACCGCTTCCCAGTCATGCTTTTGGGCAAGTTCTCTGAGTCCCTTCCCTCTGAAGTGTGGTATTTGATAGAGCCTGATCATTTTCTAGCTACTGTCGTTGTAGTCATTACTAAATGATAGAACTAGTGCGTTGAAGCCCCAGCAACCGCTTGGACTGCTTCTATCTTGTGTGAGTAGACGTATTACTTCCTTGAATGAGAGTCTGTCATTCTTAGCACCAAAGTAACCCGTAAAGGATCATGAATTTTGCAACTATACCCGTCATTTCAACTTGAGATTTGTATGAACCAATCATTTCATAAAAGACTTTAGACTCTAAGATTGCAAAGTCAGGACTGTGATTCTGTTAATTCAACAAAAAGTATTTATGAAAGTATTTCATAATATGGGAACATTTAAAGATCTTATTACACACTTATGATGGAACACTATACAGTCATGTGCCACAAAATGACGTTTTGGTCAATGACAGACCACATATATGATGGTGGTCCCGTAAGATTAGTACCATATAGCCTAGATGTGTAGTTGGCTACTCTATCTCGGTTTGTGTAAGTACACTCTATGATGTTTGCACAATGATGAAATTGCCTAACGACAAATTTCTCAGAATGTATCCCCATCGTTAAGCAACACACGACTGTGCAATCATTGCATGTTTTTGAAGAATAACGAAGGAAATGCTTATTTTGTTAAAGGCAAAAGGGATACAAAATTCTGTATACAATATCCCATTTAAAAATATGTTCACAGAAAAAAATCTAAAATAAATTACATAGTAAGGTAATGATCTGACTGAAGAAGCATAAAGTCTTTCTCTTTCTGTTTCAGCCAATCTTCCAGTGCCAACAATTGCAGCAATAGATGGGCTCGCTCTAGGTGGTGGTCTTGAACTGGCCTTAGCGTGTGATATAAGAGTAGCAGGTGAGAATTAATCCTATTACAAACATAAATTTTTAAAAATGAGGTTTGTGCTTAGTTTTCAGATGATTCCAAATATTTTATTCTTTTCCTGTTGTTGAGTAGAACGGTTAGGAAAAAGTCACCTGTTGGGCTTAATGAAGTATTTAAAATTCCTAGTTAAGAAAACAGTCTTTTATAGTCTCTTGTTCAGTCTTAGCAGTAGGAAAGGAGAACAGGAAATGGGTCAGACAGAACTGAATTTGAATCTTAGGTCTTGCCCTTTTTAGATCAGTTTCCTCCTCTGAAAGAGGGGAAATGACAGTGCTGTTGTGAAGATAAATGAGTTAATCTATGGCATGTGCCTAGTCCAAGCACTTAATTACTGTTAGTACAGTAATAATAACTTAATCTTTCTGAGATTCACTTTCTTCTTGCATGGTTTTCTGAGGATTGGATGAAGTGATTATGAAAATAATAATGAAAACAATTAGTGCTAATCATGTGCTGAGTGTTGACCTGGTGCCCAGCGCTGTTCTAAGCACTTGACATGTATTAACTCACTTAATCTGCCTACCAGCCCCATGCGATGGGTACTTGGTGGTGTTCGAGGAGGCTAGGGCTGAGACAGGTGAAGTAACAAGCCCTAAATCAGTGACTGAGCCGAGATTTGAACCTACCCAGTCTGGCGTTGCAGCCCTCACTCCTGTTATCCTGCCAGAGCACTGCATGCTGCCGCTGCTGTCCTCGACACTATCTTCTGTGTGGTCACTGCGCTGTGTCCTTGCTCCCTCCTCGGGGTGACATGAAGGGGCTCTGGGACCAAGGACTGGGCAAAGCGGGTAGCAAATACTTTCAGTGTTCCTCCCCTGGTTCCCACTATCACTTCTCATGGAGCTGCCTGTTAAAAGTGGAGTCAATATAATTGTTTTTAATAATTTTATGGTGACTGTTTCTTGGGATTTGTTAGTCCATGTGTACTTTTTCCCCTTTCCACTTTATTTTAGATCTCTGTTCTCTTGTCTGAAATCACTGGGTTTTAAATTGAAAATCTAAGGTACATGTAATCCATTTATGAAAGAATGCAGATTCTGGGTATTAGGATATGGGAAGTAGTCCAAGTACATTTGGATATGCAAATAAAGAAATAATTAAGATGTTTTAAAGTAGCCATGAAAACAAACACAAGAAGAAGAACCCTGTCCAGCTGTCAGAACAGTAAAACCATTTGTCAAAAGTAACTAGAGATTTGGTCTTGAAAAGTTGCCATATCTGATATGATATATTAAGCTGTTTGATCTGGAGGACTATTCAGGCAGCTAAAGAATTCATACTTGTCAGACACAGCCTCTCTCCTCATCCTGAATAATTAATGGGATCTAAGCCTTCAAACATGACTTGGCAGTATCAGATCAAATTATGTAGTTACAACCCTGGTCTTTCTGCATCAAAAATTAATTCACTGCTGAGCAATTTTTAACAGAACATGTTGTGTGAATCTCTTAATATATATAATTTAGAATGTTTACATATTTCCATAACCAAATGCCTTCTGAAGTGATTTTTAAAAAGATTTGTGACAGATTTAATTAGTAAACAGAGTATTTGTAGCTTATTTTACTAACTTTTTCAAGTCATTATTATTTGAAATTGATGATATGGATGTTACTTAATTTTCTTCCTTCCTTTTTAGCTTCCTCTGCAAAAATGGGCCTGGTTGAAACAAAGTTGGCAATTATTCCTGGTGGAGGTATGAATTGTTCACACCCATCTTGATTTGTTCCGCCTAACCAGGGCATAAGATACAAAGATGTAATTGAAAAGGCAGCATTTTGGGTAAAGAGACTAATGCTGTATTGTTTGCTTCTCTAGGAAAGTCCATATTCCAAATATGCTGTTTTAGCTTATGTAGGTGTGTGAAGATGGCCGGTACGCTGGCTGTTGCTTTCTTTTTGTGCTGTCTTCTGTGCTTTTCTGTGTGATTTCTTAATTTTTAAATTATTGTACCAGTCACATTATTCTTGAAGGATTACACCAATGTTTTGAAACTTTTATGTGGGTGTATAAATGTGCATGCCCTCAGAGAGCTTCGTGCACACAGTCAGACCCAGCAGAGGAGTGGGCAGGGCTTCCCAGGCTTCCTGCCAGCTGTCTTGTGTTTCTGTGCGGCAGGACAAAGGTCGGGGTTAGTGGGTAGCCTGCATTTGGAGCAGAGATGGTGGTGTTTCTTGTGTCACTACAAAAAAGATAGATGAGCTGCTTCTTTTGGAAGACCCGTTTAAGAAGGCAGTTTTCCAACATTGGTAATGAAATCTTGCATCACCCAATAAATCTGAAATTTTTGTTCTTTTGTTTGATGTAGAGAATTTGGAGATAATTCCATTTTGTGAAGTCGTTCTTTCAAAAAGTTGACTTCGTTTGAGGGTGTGCATGTTGATAGCAAATTAGTGTATGAAGGAAATAACAGTAACATAAAGGCAGTGTTTGAACACTTCAGGTATGTTTGTACCTGAATAGGTTAAAATTGTATGTTTAACCTTGTCATAAGAGTATTTGTCCTGATTAGAGTGTATAGGTAGAAATTAAAACATTGTTCAGTGAAACTGAAGACCACTCAGATCAGTGTATAAGACTCACTAAGTTTTCTACTTTGGTAATCCATGAAAATGCTATTCTTGTAGGTAAAAGCATTTAATGTCTACCTGTTCTACCATGCCAACCTTTTTCACAGTGATTAATGAAAACACTAAAAGAAGGGTTTATAGGAAAATGGATGCAGTTGAAAAGAATTATCAGATAACTAATATGTGAAGTAAAACAAGGTTTGGGAAAAGGATATAACATGTTTTTGAAATTCTTGTAAGAAGTAATCATTTATTGGTAATTAGGATATAACTCATCCTGAAGGATAGTGACTGTAGTTGACTGGTGGCCCCCCAAAAGTTATGTCAATCTGGAACCTGTCAGTGTGACCTTATTTGGAAAAAGGGTCTTTGCAGATGTAATTAAGTTAAGGATCTTGAGATGAGATCATCCTGGATTATCTGAATGAACCTTAAATCCAATGACAAGTGTGCTTATAAGAAGAGAAGACTCAGACAGAAGAGGAGAAACAGCCAGGAAAAGGCCATGTGAAGATGAAGACAGAGATTGGAGAGCTGCGTTTACAAGTCAAGGAAGGCCTAGGATTGCCGTTAGCCACCAGAAACTAGGACATTCTTCCTCAGAGTCTCCAGCAGGAACCCAACCCTGCCACCATCTAGATTTTGGACTTCTGGCCTCCAGAACTATGGGAGAATAAATTTCTATTGTTTTAAGCCACCAAGTTTGTGGTAATTTATTACAGAAGCTATGGGAAACTAACACAGTGGTCTTTAATGTTGAAGTACTTTTTTTGGACAGAGAATTAGTAGGTGGCAGAGATAGGGGGTGGGAGGAAGGTGAACTTGGTAATTTGGGTATTCGCCATGTCTTGAATATGAGATATTTTGTATTAAAATCACCAGAAGGTAGAGTGATTGTATGAGAGTACTACTGGGTGTGGTTGGATGAAAAAGGCCTAACTGACTATACTGCAGAAGTGAGGGTGGCAGCTTGATTCAGCTGCTTCCGTCCTCTCTGTGTGCTGTCTGTGCCGAATGAGCTCTAGAAACCAGCATTTTCCTCCTAATGTACTTAAGTTCTTTCCGGTCCTCCTCCATACTGGATCCATTAATCAGAACCCACTTTCTAAATTTGATTGAATTTTGGCTATGTATTCTCATGAATACAATTATTTTAAAAATTTTTATTGAGTAAATTTGTCATAAAATTCAGAATGCTGTAACATTTTCCCATCTATTTATAAAGGATAGTTTTCTGTCTTTTTTCTTTTTTCCTAAGTGAGTCTGAAGGAATATATTTTAGTTGCTCCTTTAATATAATGAAGCTTTCAGGTTCACGACTCATAGTATGTACAGTTATGTAACATTGTATTTTTTATTGAAAATGAATCTAATTGCATTATGAAGTCACATATTCACTTTTAGATAAAAAGAAATGCACACAGAAGTTTTGGTTTGTTATAACATTAGTGTTATGGTTAGCCAAAGTAAAGCCTGAATTTTTTTTTTTAAAGCAGAACAGTTTAAATAAGATTTTTTCTGTATTATCTAAAGGAGCTATTTCTGAAATTTTTATGAAGAAAAATCCTCTTCTGTTCTATGCACAGAAGATTTTTTTTATCCACAGATATTTTCGCCATCTCCATCTCTCCCCTTCCCTTTCTCATAGATGATCCTCATATCAAAATACTGCTTTTTTTTTTCTTAAAGCTGTTTTTAAATTGGCAAATTTGCCATGCCTGAGATGATCTCTGAGATGTCCTCTCTGGCTGTAAACATTTCTGTTAGCTGTTACAAAGAGCTTTTCATAATAGACACAGTAGACTTCACTTAATTTTTTTCTCCCTCCTTAGTGGATCTCTTTTGGCTAAAAGAAGATGCTTACCCTGCCTCCTGTTGTAGATGCTTGTAGAGCAGCCAGGTGGGTCTCCCGTGTGGGCACAGCCCTTGCCAGTGAACCTTCCTTCACTGTCAGCAGCCTCAGCCTTTCATCTGTTTCAGACAGGAGCAGCTGTGGACAGCCAAAGATGGGTAGAAAATAAGTGGGGAGAATTCAAAAACAGCTTTGCTTTTCCTTTTTAATATGGATGAAATAAATATCTTAGGGTAAAATATATGAATTACAGCCAATATAGAAGATGTATGTGTTATAAGTCCGACAGATAATGCTCTTCTATATTACAGGCCCATGGTTCCATACTGGGCAGCATTTGAAAGGTAATCCACCTGAAATTGTACCTCCCCATTTGGGTTTACTGTATATTTGATAAACACAGAAGTTAACCTGATCCACCTGGTTTCATGTAATTATCATTTCTGCCCTTTGGTAATAACAGTTTACTGGGAAACAATTGATCAAAACCTAGCATTCATTTTCTTTTGTTATGTTTTTTTTTTTTACTTGAATTTGAGATTGAATAACAACATAATCATTTTTAAGGTATATTTTAGAAATTTTCTTAAAGCAAGTTAAATTATAAAATGATTGTTTTGAGGAGATAGTAATATTCCTAGTGAGCATGAATATTAATGGACCATTACTGTAATGCAATTTTTAGATTAGTTACTGAATTTCAGTTTTTACTAGCAAGGAGATTGTCTAGTGTTGAATGAATATTAAGTATATAGTTAATGAAAAGGAGGGTGTAAAGGAATATAGAAACATATTAAAACCAAATTGAACTTCTTTAAATAGTATTATATTAGATGTAATTAAAAAATGGAATGTAATTGTCTGTCATACACTTACACAAGTACTTTTATTTGCAATATATATATTTGATTATAGGCAAATATTATAAAATACAAAATACAATGTTAATGATTTAAAGCACTAGGCAATTTAAAAATAGCTAAAATTGTTACCCTAGGACCTTTCTACAATATTCTAGATTATATTGGGATTTTTGTATACTACGTGGCCCTATTCTGTTCTCCTCCAGTATTTTCAGTTTTAAGAAAGCAGCTTAACTTCCTGTCTTCTCCCCAAATGGGAGAATGTTCATAGTGTAAAATAAAATTCTCTTTTACAAATAGCACCTCAAACATTACCACCCTTTAACACATTTATAAGAACCAAATAAAGCAAGTTCAGAGGATTAGGAGTCTTTAAGTTGACAGTTTAGGGAATATCTTTGTTTGCACAGAAAATGGTGGCAGGTTTCTCCTTCCTGGCCTTAGTTTATTGCCTCTTCTACTGGAGAACTTGGGGTTTGTGTCAAGAAACTTTGTTATAACTAAGATAACTGTTAAGGCTTCCTGCTTGGTATATACAACTGTGAACAAGATATTTAGTATTTCCACTGCTCTGTGGTTCTCTTTTATTCTCTCCAGCTCTTTATTTTTGAAATATTCAAACTTTAAGAAATTGTAAAGGCAGTAAAATGAATCTCTTTGTACCGTTCACCAAGATCTGTCCCTCCCCCTGTCCTGCCACTGTCTGCCTCTGTCTCATATGCATATGCATATTTTCTTGCTGAACCATTTCAGAATAACAAGGTGAGCCTTGAAATGTTTCAGCATGCCTTTTCTAAGAATAAGAATGGACTCTTCTGTAGACACAACACTGTTATCACACCTAACAATATTAACTGTAATATTCAGATCTCCCTGGCTGTTTCAAAATGTTGTTTGTAGTTGTTTTTTTGTTTTGCTTTTCCAATTCAGGATCTAGTTAAATGTCACACATTGCATTTGATTAGATCTTTTTTTTTTTTTTCAATCTAGATAAGTCTTCCATCTCTCTTTTTTTTTTTAATAACACTAATTTTTTTTTTAAAGAATTCTGGTTTGCACATTCTGATTTGACTGAGTTCTTTCCTCATGTTTAGATGTAGGTTAAAAAATTTTGCCAAGAACACTGACAGGGCCATGCTCTGTATTTCATTTTCGTTTCATTGGATGGCACTTAATGTCAGATTATCTTACTATGGGTGACTATAACTTTGATTGCTTGGTTAAGGTGGACTAACTCATACACTTTTAGTGTTCTTTTCTTAGAAATTTTTCAGGGAAAGAGTCTTTAATAATTATTATTGACATGGGCTATTCCCTAAATTAAAGAAGAAAGGAGGAAAATGAGATCATTGAGGTTTCATGGGACCAGAACAAGGGTCCCCAGTTCTGTCTGCTTTCTTCTCCCTAGGGG